GCAGGCTTTAGTGAAACTGGAGGACCCATGGAATATCAGCATGACTCCATTAACCACCTCACTATTGAATGTGTTAGACCTTTCCCAGTTTCGCTGAAGTCCATCGAGAATACGCGTGATAACGTCTGGAGCTGAACTGGCATATTTATCTCACAACTGTAAACATCCAGCATTCTTCTTGAATTCAGATAATTTAGCGGTGAATAGGATTGCTGTCAGTCTCAAAATGAAAATGAAATATGCCTATTTACATAAGTGAGGAGCTAAGGCTTATCATTTATTTACATTCACCATTATTTAGAACCCCGAAAGGATTAGCGGTTTAATGAGTTTGGGCTTTCTTGATAGAAATGAAAGTTATCATTTGCTGAAGACTTGATTGAGTTTATGCAATCGACTGCTATTAAGTAAGCTGGTCATACAATGATACAATGTGCACGTACCACTACAAATAGAATTTGTAAGTAGGGACGCTCTAGTGTCAGCGCAAGCTACGTAACGGAATCGACGACTTTTGCGTTCTGACGCGCCTTATCAGCCTTTATCAGTTGTAACCACTTTCCATCACCCACCAACAATGTCCCCGTCCCACCCCATAACACTTGTAAGTATGGTTGCTCTGGTGTCAACGCGAGCAGGTAACGGAATCGACGACTTTTGCGTTCTGACGCGCCTTATCAGCCCTTATCAGTTGCAATCACTTTCAATCACCCACCAACAATGTCCCCGTCCCACCCCACATAACACTTGTTTTTCATATTTTAGTCCACCTACCTGGCTTATCTCGCTCATTTCTAGGTCTCGCCTGTACGTACGGGTATCGAGATTAAAAATTTTGTTTTTGGTACACCCACTTCGGTGCATGCCCCGTCCGCTTCGGGTTGGCTCCACTTGTACGGCTCCGTACATCTCAGCCCATGTCTCACTCATTCCAAGCTTGACATAGGTTTTTCTCTAGGTTACTTTTCTGGTAGTACTTAATTTTAAAACAGACAAGAGAGAAATAAACTGTCCTAAAATCTTATGGAGAAAAGTGCTCTATAGATAATGGCGGTCTGCGCTACTGAATTGCTGCTTACGCCTTGCAGAAATTGAAAGCAAAAGTTAGGTAGTTCACTGTTTCTTGTTGTTTTTCATTGTTCTGAAGGAAAAAGTGAAAAAAGTTAAAAATGCTCATAAAAAATATTAAAAACATAAAACTAACGTGGTGTTCACTCCGTCATTATATTACAACTTTGACTGCATTTTGGAGGAGATCACTGGATATAGAATTTGAAAAATATTGAGCTCGTTTTCGGAGTCCTTATTATTCTCAATTTGTACGAAATGAATAATATGGTTTTAATTTGAGCGAAAAAGGTAGGGTCGTTTAGAGCAAGGTTCGATTAGAACAATGGATTCAAAAGAACTTCCAATTTGGCGTTTTTTCTTCTTTATTTAAACCGAGGAATAGCAGCTGTCGAAACGCCGATTTTCGCCGTCTGGATTTTCCAACTTCTAAGCTCTATACCTGAGTACAGCTACAATGTTGAAGAAAATGACAACTACGTTTTGTAGAGCGGAAGAGTACTTTCAAATGTATGAGCGGTTTTTGGTTTATGGTGTTTATGGGTTTTATGTACTAGTACTGATTCAACTTATAGGCTCGAAAAATAGACGCTACGATATTATGCTCCAACCCAATATAAGGCTTCAGTTAATCGGCTAATCGTTAGTCCTGACATTGTGCGCTGATTAGATCAGGTCCTATGGGATGTCATTCAGGGATTCGCTATGTCAACAAGGCAGGCGAGAAGAAATTCGTTCACACCTGCAATGGAACAGCAGTAGCATCTACAAGAACTCTCATCAGTATATTTGGAGACTTTCCAAACGGTTGGTTTCGTGTGATCCACCGTTATTCTCAGTTATATATATAAATTTTTTTTTTTTACATAAAGCTAGTTTTAGGAAGCGAAAAATGCTTAGAAATCTCACAATGTGATCAGGAACCGATGAGACTGGCGACTCGCCTCATTGAAGTTCCAACCCAGCACAAGCCTTTAGCATAGTATCTATGCTTGATTTTTGTAAAATAAATGTCCAGCAAATCATTTTTTTATTTGCAGAAACGGTGATAAGGGTAATCGGCGAAGCATCACCCCATGACATTTGACTTCATAGCAGAGTGAAATGCAAAATCCGAATTCATTTGCTGGAGTTCAGATAGTAGATAAGATATGTAGATGTAAGATTGGCTTCCCCCTCAACGTGACTTGAAGGAGGTCTAACTAAGGGACGTCTCATGCTGACTTGTACGTAGAGCTGAAGTTGATATTCCTGCACTCTATGTATTCCGTCTTCCGATCACTGTTCATTCGAGGAAGGTGGCAACATCATGCCCAGAAGAGCGCACCACTTCAGTGAATAGGGAGTGAGAATAGAGTCGTGCTATACTTAGAAAACAGGGGCTTCCGTTGCGGTCACGCTCGGTCTCCTCCATCTCCGTCGTTTTTGGAGAAAATTACTGCTAACACTGACGTGAGTTTGACTTATTGGATCAAATAAGGGAATAGTAATAGATTTTGCGAGTAACCGAGAGAAATAGAAAAGAGTGGCAGACCATTTGATGACACACACCATTGCAAGCTTTTTTCATTATTATCATTATAATTGCATTATTAATTTATCATTATAATTGCATTAGGGTGCGATTCTATTGCAAAGAACCTGGCAGGAACGCCCGCACGCGGGAGAAATAAAAGGCAAGGGTGCGACGCGCGCACGTGCTGCACCGTCCCTTGTGGCCTCTAGAGTGCGACATCCTCGTCGCGCTGTAGTGGTGATGATTTCGATTTACCTTTTCGGACTCTCAAATAGCGTTTCGGATGGGATTGTCTGGAGGAAGAATTTGGCCTTAGTTCACGAGCGAGAACCGCCTAAACTGTGCAAATACGTATAGTATGCACGCTACCACAGAATTCTCTTTTTGTGTCAATACAAAATGGTTGTTGTCAATGCCAAAGCGGTGTTCTTGAAGATTTATAGCTTTGATTCCATCAGAGTTGCCTTTAGAAACATCACACTGAGTACAGACCGATTTGCTCCTTTTATCTGGATCAAAGGTCGACCTTGGCGATCTTTCCAGTGTGAATGAGGTATCGATCGCAGCTCGAAAAAGCCGAATGGTGTATTTAACTGAAATCTCACAGATGATAACTGTAACTTTCTATTTGGTGTATCTGGCATTAACTGATCCCATACTGAAAACGTCTAGGCAAATCGTCCATGAACGCGGTTTTTCATATCCAACACAACCACTTCAAAGGCACGCTCCAGGATTAGACATGCTCACCTGTTCCATACCCGGGCGTAGTAGGCAGGCGGACAAGCGTTGATGTCGCGCCCCTTTTGCGGCTTGAAAGTGCGCGACAAAGGCGCAAGGAGCTCGCTCAACCCGCAATCCACACCTTCGTCCGCAAGCCCCGCCTTCCGCTGTCGGTTGCCACGTGACGCTGCTTGAAAAGCGCGGGCGCAGTTGCGGCAGCGGTTGCATTGCGGTTCAATGTCATTGGCACTGGAGCAACTGGAGCTAGGTTCGTGAAACTCGTCCAACACGCCCTTCTCTATCCCAAGGTGGAATGCGGCTGAAATAGAGGAGGTCCTTATTCGGGGCGTAATCGGGGGTTTCTCTTGCTTTCTTCTTCTTTTCCAGACCACTACCATAGCTTCATTTGTGAACGCTCTTCCACACCTACTTTATCGCGAAGTTTGCTTTGAAGAAGTCGTAAGGCCTATGACAACACATTGCTGTAGATGGCCTTCTCACAATCACATAAAGACCCGGAGTTTCCAAGGCTTTCGAGATATTTTCAGGCCTCCTTTTAGCTTTCACTACTTCCGTGAAAATTATCTGATGACAGAAGAGAAAGTAAAAATCAAAAATTGACGCTTATGTCGTTGGATTTGGGGGGGGGGGGGAACCTTCAAGTGAGTGAGCTACTTACTTTACCTAGGATTGAGCCTTAGGGAGGGGAAGGCATTCTAGGCGCTAGGACCCAGCCCAGGAGAGTATTTAAAGGAATCTTCCACGGACCATGGACCAGTGGGCGGGACCGGAAGTTTTTGTGACGAAATGCATGGTAGGTACGGATCCACGTGTCGAACGCACGAACGTGAACAGGATTCACTTCAAACCTTCCCATGAACGTGGATCCGTACCTACCATGCATTTCGTCGCAAAACCACTTCCGGTCCCGCCCACTGGTCCATGGTCCGTGGAAGATTCCTTTAAGCATTTGGTTGAGTTAACGTTTCCTCTCCTAAGCTTAGGTATAGCGTTATTTACCATCGCCCCCTTTTATGCGGACCCGCCCCCGCTTCAATCCCAAAGACATGAGCACCCGGAAATCAAATGAAATTAATCGTAGCACTTACTCTGGAGACGTTGTCACTGAGTACTTCGGCGAACGCTAGATCAACACCACTGTCCCTGGCCAAGCGAATTGCTGCCGCTGTCAGAGCTGTTCCAGCTCCTCGATGCTCCATACGGATCACCACCGTATACAGAGATGTAGCAGCTGTGAAGTCGGAGGCATCAAGTCCCAGAACTGAAGTTAACAATGAAATTCCACCGGCAGATTGATCAATTCCGTATCGAGTGCAGCGGTCGCGAAGCCTGCAGGACATTCAGAACCATGTATAAAGGAAGAATTGGAAACGACTCACGTTCTCGGTCAGCTTGTGCGCAATGCTTTCAATAAGGAATATCTTCGTGAAGGTATGATCGGACCGGATATCTAGATAGGATTTGGTCTGAAATTGCTCAACATAGAGTAAAATAGGAAGGTTTATAAGGTTCTCGACCTAAACTATGAAGGAATTTTCGTGTTTATACGACCCCTCACCTCGCACATAATTGGACTCCCCTCAACTACTTCAGTCAGGAAGTTATCTACCTCCCAACTTATCCAAGCACCCACCGACCATAGGGTTGCGGTGTGTGGACCAATACAACAGAGAAAACAATTGCAATTTCGATTTTTTCGGGGATTTCAACAATTCATGGATATCCCGCGATTCATGAATCTCTACTGTCACCATCTTGAAAAAGTATTGATAATCCGCCCCCATTTCTTCTCCTCTCTCATGAAGTAGGACTCCACTGTCCAGGAACGATCTCTATTAATCCGGCATGATTAGTACATATTAGTTGCTCTTTCGAGCTCGAGATTGATACAGAACTTTATTCGAACTTTTAGTTCTTCTTCTTGTAATCCGAAATGACGGTTGGATGAATTGTTTCAAGAATATGCTTCGATTTGCAGGCTCCGAAGAAGGCGAGTGCGCCGAAACGTAAGCCGAAATAAAGTTCTGTATCAATCTCGGAAGCTCGAAGAGAACCAACTAATACTATCTTACTGTTATAGGAACTGGGGTGCCTTGTGGTGACCCAAAAAGACCAACATTTTCCTTAGGCCATTGCAGAATAATTGACGGAGAGAAAACCATCAAATGGACTCATACCTGTCATACTGATTTCTTATCTTCACGATAGTTTGTGGTCATTTGTTGTGCGAAAGATATGATAAATACCTCTCAACTAGCTGCATCAAGTACGCCCCGATCATCTGCCCTTCGCTTTCCATGGCCAAGGAATAACCTTGTGGTAGATAGTGCGGCAGAAAACCTATAAAATGCTCATTTCTCTACGTATGACGGCTGAAGTTATTGGACGCACTCCTGCAGAACGCTTCGGCATCTTCAACAGAGACATTCAGAGCTCTTGCAAGCGGCTCAGATTTTGTGTACGCTTCAGTCATGATGTTGAGGAAGGCGTCGTGGTCGGCCATTGTGGCGCGACGAATCGTATAAGCCGGCGTGGTACTCTGCATTTTCTGAATGGCTGATTAAATGTGCGATTTTGTGAAATCCGATGGCGACGCGTTAGATGGCGAAACGAGCATTGCAGCATCAGTGAGTGTCAGAGTTATTTTGTTCTTCCTTCGAGTTTTGAGTAGGTTTTCTAAATATGTTCTTCCTAGACGATGGCATTAGACGATGAAATTTTTCAAATTATTGACAACTGCGTATAAATTATTAGGTTGAGCAATAATTATCCGCCGTTTTCATTTCACTCATAAGTTTATTAACAAAACCAAAAAAACAACAACATAATCAACAAACGCTCTCGAACAGTCCTCTCTGCAACCGTGCCTTCATCCCAGGCTTCATTGATTCTACGAGCAGATGCAGAAGCATTCGGTTTCGAGCTCAACTTGCACTCATGTAGCATGGGCAATCTTTTTTGCTCGCGTGTAAGCTCCAGAGTGAAGTAAATACACAAGTGTTGTACATCAAAATGTACAAGAGATTGCGCGCTTTCAGACTACATCATAACCTTTGAAAATAATCAGCAAAAAATCAAAGAGCCATGAGCCTGAAAAAAAAACGGCGGATAATTATTGCTCAACCCGATAATTTGCATGGAGCCATTCCACCGTGTACGGATAACTTATTCTGCAATGCTCTCACTTCTTTGTAAGTATTCCGTAACACAGGAAAAACAATATGTTTCTATGCATGTTCGGAGATGAGTCTCATCCAAAGCAAAGATCGTAATTGAATCTTTGAAGCAATTCTCTCCATGGCTCATGTGGCAAGTTATTTGAAAGCACCAGTCAGGATCAAAATGGAGTGTTATTTTGTTTGAAAATTAGGACAAGGGGTGCAATGAGGAACATTAGTGAGGAGAAAAAGCAAAAAGCACCATAGAAAACACTAAATTTCCCTTGGAGGCCGGCCGTAGTATGACGGAGAGACACAGCGCTGCGAGGAGAGGGAAAACGCGAGAAAGCACAGTGTACGCGAGAGGGCGCAGACGTCACGTGTGCCGCCATGATAATTGTGGTGTTGCCTTAGCGCTGTTGCCTCGCATTTTTGAATCGCTATAGTGTTGCAACTCCTGCACTAGGAATGTCCCTTTCTCACTTCAGAAGAGACTACTTCTTTTTTATTTTTGTTTGATGGACCCATACCTGAAGGACCTGTGAAAGGCAGCTTGATAAAATAGGAATGTTTCAGCCGGAACTGAGTCCACAGGAAGTTATACGTGGAGACAAAATGCGATGATTGAAGGGCGAAATAACGATGGCGTGTTCGTGGAAGCAAACAAGTGGCCTTCGATGTTCTCGAAGCGGAATAATTGGATCGTGACAATGCGACGAAAGAACGAACAAGAGTGATAGAGAAATTGCTGATTCGTCATAATTTATGGCCCTATTGGTTTGTTCGCGGATAGTCAGCATAGTAGGCTTTGACATGTTCGCTTTCGGATGTTCGAAGACTACCAAAGGAACGGTAACCGGTCGCCTCACCAAAAATGCATAGCATGTATGGTTTATTATTTTTCGGTATGCAACACATTCAATTCACATTCAAAGAAATATAGAGACACATAGCTTGCGTTGTGAGTTGCTGGAAATTTGACGGTCTACGATTCTCTTCAGAAACACGGCTGGTATGAATTAGTTGACCTTGATGGCAGGGAAAGTTCATTTAGCGTCAAATAAGTAGAGCCTCCCAAGTGTTATGCTTCCGTCTAATGCCATTATTGAAAGAAGGTGAGGCTCATTACCCATTCGTTTGGAGAGATGGAGCTATAGGCTGGCTATATGTCTGCGCTCGTCGTACATGGGATTTGTCCATACTGTTGACGGGTAATACATATATCCCGTATAATAGAACATCAGCCTTGACTACAATACCGCCACTAACTTTTGAAATTTCTCCGCTGAGCGACGGATTTGCAGCGTCGCAAAGCGTCGCCCCTTCATAACTCCCCCAAAGCGGGTCAAATGATTGGTGCTCTACACCATTGGACTCGTCTCTCTGTGGCGAGTCTAACCATGTGGAAAACTACGGTACTCGCCGTAAAAAATCGAAAAAAAAACACGCGAAAAACGCAAATTCGCGTTTCTTTTTCGTTTTTTCGTTATAACTCGATTTTCGAAATCTGAAAAAAGCATTGAACTCAGCTCGTCGAGTTCTATAAGAATATGCTTTTAAACTTTTGGAAAGCCTTACTTCAGATTGCGCCATGCACTCGAGCTTTGGCTCGAGAAAAAACTGTTTGAATGTGGTGCGCATATAATCCCGCTTATGCATCATGATCGTTCTTCAGAGAGATGGGTCTCAGCAGTTGCCCCAGAACGCGCCGCGTATTCAACATCGTCCATTGTATTGTGAATGGATCGATTGCTTTTTTCCAGATTTCATGGTCCCTATTCCAGCGGCGCGTTAAATGACTTAACACGTAGTCCCTGCGCTCAACATCTCCTCCTCTCGTGTTCAAATGGAAATCATAGATCAATTCTCGGCTGGACAGTTAGCCTATCTGGTGAAATTTTCCAATGTTTGAGCGAAGGTTTTTCCGAAATCTGAGGAGGTAGCGGGGAAATTTCTTCACAGTTGTAGAGTACGCTTACTTGTGTGTAGGAATAAGATCACACACTTGCTTGCAGATGACCGCTCCCTGCGTGCTGTGGCCATGAACATGCCTCCTCGTCATGCCCTAGCCTATTTGGTGAAATTTTCCAATGTTTGAGCGAAGGTTTTTCCGAAAACTGAGGAGGTAGAGGGGAAATCTCTTTACTGTTGTAGAGTACGCTTACTTGAGTGTGTAGAAATAAGATGACATACTTGCTTGTAGACGAGCGCTTCCGCCGTGCTGTGGCTGTGAAAATGCCTCCTCGTCATGCCCTTGTGGAAAGATCAGATTTTTTGCATTTCCAGATGAACTCGCAGACCTGAGATGTGCCCCATTGGATTCCCCGTGAAAAATGCTATCGAATGTTATGCATTACTCCTCCCAGTTGAAACTTTTGGTTTTTCACCGTTTTCAGACTTCCCCTATTGCCGATTGGGCATCATTATTCCACTATTACTGCCCCAAAATCTCAAAGTTTCATTTTTCGTCGAAACTTTGCCTATTGGGGTAATTCGATGCCCTATTACAAATATGACATTCATTCTCGTAGTGTGGCCCCAAACATCACACCTTGCCCCGTTTTTTGTGACATGTTCCAT